AAGAGTATGAGGACTCTATTTTAATGTCTAATTTTGTGACGTACCCTGCACTGATAGTATTAGTTGTAATCAGTACTAGTTGAGAAATGTTTGTGCTGTTTCCACAGTGATTAAAAACCACTGTTATAAACCAAATATTATCAAGCCTGCAAAAGCATGCCTATAGCATTGTGTCTAATGACACTTCCAAGTATTTTTTAAGAGTTTCTCTGACAACATGGCACCTTTTATTCAAGATAGGGTTCATATTTGAGCAGAAATTTGGAGGTTAAAGAAAAACTAGACCCCTGGATACTTAAAGAGCTAACTGATACAGAAGGAATATTTTGAGATTATTAATCTCATGCGAAAACTGAATAGCTGAATTTTTACCAGGGTACTTGCTTTGTTATTTTTTTGTAGGTTGAATCATCTCAAACTTGTCATTCTGAACAAGCTGATAAAAAGGAAGGAAAAAATTCAGGTAACTTCCGGAAGAAATCTGCAAACATGCTTCAGCAATCTGGTTCTAAAATTACAGGGGCCAAGAAAAGAAAAATTGATGATGCCTGAGATAAGCGTTAGTACATTTTCCAAGAAAAGAACAGTTTATGCATGTATACACTATTATTTTTGTAGTTGCATGTATACACCATTATTTTTGTAGTTCATAAAAAGTTTAATTTTAAAATAATTTCATTGACATTTTATACATATGGAGCTATATTTTCAGAGCTTATCTCTGAAGATTTGAGAATTTGAAACCTTTTGAAACTTAAATATCATGAATCATATAATTTTATAATATGAAACAAGGGCAAAAACGCTTTTTATGTAAAATCCCTTAAATGTAGAATACTTGAGAATAAGTTCACATTAACTATCTTAAGCTCTTTATGCCTTGATATATCTACTTGTATTTTTTCTTTTGACATAACTATCTTTCTCATAGTAATATTATACTGATACAGGTTCATCACTAAAAGGCAGTAATATTTTAAGCTGAATAATGTAGATGATTTCAGTTTATAAAAACAGCTACAGAATTCTTTTTTGTTAAGATATTGCTGAATCTCCATTTAGGTAAAATAAAACTATTAGCTTCCAGAAACCACAGCCCTACTTTGACATTTCACAATCAAAAACTGGCTCTGGTCTACTAAAGTACATTTTGGCTAAGTAGATAACTACTTAGCTAAATGTGCTTCAAAGCTAAATCAGGAGTGAACATGTTTAAGTTTAAAACACAGAAATGAATAATGATTTCTTACATAGTAAGTGGTCAATTTTGTTAGAAAAATATATCTGTAAATAAATTATTTGAACTGATTTCATCCTTAGAATTTTATTTTTTTACACTTTTCAACTAAAATCATTATCACTGTTGCGTTTTTAACTTCAATATGGTCATCATTAAATCACTGCAGTCAAATAATTTTATTGACATGAGGTTTTTTTTTTTTGTCTCATTTGGAACTTTATGTGGTTTTTGAAGAAATTCTTTTTAGTCAAAATAATCTTCTATATCAATATTTGGATCTAGCAGATCTTCTCCATATGATGAAAGATTCATTTGGTTTAAAATTAAGTTTTCAAATGTTTCTTCTAAGTCAGTTTCACCAATTAAGACAGCTCCCATCATTCGCCCATTTTGCATGACGACTTTGACGTATTCTTGTCCTCTGGTACATCTCAGCATTAATTCATGATCTGAACCTAAGCCCTGTGCATTGTATTTTCCCAGCAATACAACCTATACATAGGGATAAAAAAATTATTCTCATGAATATCAAAAAGGAAACATAACGGGCAGTTATTTTGTGTCACTCTGGAATAGCCAGCAGAAAAACTATTCAACAAGATTTTACAGCTAAAAATGTTTGGGGAGGATTCCAAACAAGACATTTGCGTGGCATGCATTAATTCTACAGATGACACTACCACACAATCTATATTAGCGTTAAAAACATCTAGTGAATACAGTAAAATATTAATGTTTTTTTTTTTTTTTTTTTTTTTT